GGGGGGGGGGCTAACTTCCATAAAGTGTCGGACATATAAAAATGTTTCCAAGAATTACTGTTGGCGACGGGGGCAAACGACATTATACGGACCTAACATATTTCCGACTTGAAATTTTTAATACATTTGCCGGTTTTCTTTCATCGTTCCCGAATGTTTTCTCTAAATTTGCCCAATTTTTTATATATAAACTTCAAAATTTCGAATCTTATCCATTTTTTTTTTGGGGGGGGGGGCTTTGCCCCCACTTTTATTTTTAGGGCCTATATACACATAGCCCCACCGTTCCGTCGCCACTGATTTCATGCATGCTGTATATACCTGTGTTACTCTTTCTAACATGTGTGGCAGTGGTAAATACGAGATATGAACATCACTTGAGAGTAGTGGACGGCTATTCTAAAAAATAGATTCTATTAGAAGTAAATACTGAAAGCGCAAAATGACCAAGTCCGGAAAATAGTTTGTACTATACATATTCTGGCATGCGAAATATTAGCCACTTTTCTATCTGCATTACGTATATAGTAGATGTATTTAAAATAACAATGTTTAAACGACTTTTAAAACGAAATTCGAAACTAAAGTTCATCAAACCTAACACTTGGTCAAATTCATTAGATATTGACCAAACTTTATGCAGTCCAAGGACTGGATGAAGTCTTACCAAGTCCTAGTATTGGATGAGGTTTGATCAATTACTAAGACTGGATGAAGTTTGATATGAAGTTTGACCAGAAGTCCTAGGATTTGATAAAATCTGACCAAGTCCTAGGATTGGATGAGTTAAGTTTGATGAAGCCCTAGCACTGGATACAATCAGGGTTCCAAATGGCATTTTGCTTGTGCCTGGGGTTCAGTATTAAAAAAGTTAATAGCCCAATTTTCAAGTTTTCAAGTACCCCCCTAAAACTTTTTTTGCGAGAGGCTTATAAGGTTAGCGCAAATGAATTAATGATACATGTTTTGATACGTACTATATTTAGTAATATATGGCTGTAAAGGTTTTGATACCAGTACTGATGGAAATTGGCATGTTAGGTATGACTGCACTATAAAACATTATAATTAGCATTTCTGGTATTGGTAATGTCTTTATAAAATTGCCGTTCTAAGTTCTTTTGAAAATCAATACTAGACAATTTGCATGTTAGCTGTGACGTTATAAAGTTACCGTTTTTAAAGGTCAAGTACAGCTTATGGTGTGATATACTTTTACAATTCATGTATGGAGTCTATATATAGACGTTGGTTTATATAATAAAAACTCTAGTTTTAGTACTCAAACTACTGAAAAACAAAACCATGCCTATGCCCACATTATTAGAAACAACAGCTTTAAAAACAACACCGAAGAATCCAATTTAGTTGATGTAATGTATGCCAAACATGAATCACAATTCGTCATTGCGTTATTTGCGTAAATAATCATATATTGCCTCGATAAATGAGTGATAAGCGTAATAACCAATATTCAGTACATTGTACTATTTGTAGCTGTACTGAATACAAGGAATATATTGTATTTCTTGCTTTTTTCTGTTTACACCAATGTTATTGCGACAGATTTGCGCAAATGTAATTTGATATCACGCATTGTAATTATATAAATGCAAACTGCCTAGTTTTCTGGGCGTGAGAAGGTGAAGAAGACTGAGAACGTCCTAGTTTTTTGTGCGCAGGGGTCTGAGAACGTCCTAGAATTACCTTATTTGGAAAAAAACTAGGCTGTTGTCGTCAAAAACTAGGACGTTCCCAGACTCCAAAATACCAATCGCGCGTAATGACGTTGTTTTAATCTAAATCTAGACATGTTGACAGAATAAAAAACATTCCTAAAACAGAGATTATTAATATAATACGGAAACAGCTTTACATAGGGTATTAAAATAGCAGAATATTTCGAAATTAAGCACGATAATGTAGAATACACGTACACAACACAAACTGACAACCGATTTTGTGACCTATATCAGAGCGTCCTAGTTTACGCTTTCTGGTTGCCTAGTTTTTCAATTTTTACGATTTTTTTGCCTAAAATTGGAAAATTTATGAGATTGGGTTCCCAGGCACAACTGGCCTCATTTGGAACC